TGCCGCATAAAGCCATATTTTATTCATAAAAAAGATGTTCATTTGTATGTTTGTATGTATGTATATATTTATGTGTGAAATTACGAAATCATGTTGACACAATTTTTATTATTTTTATTTGCTCTAACAAAGAGGCAAAAAATTAAAAGAGAATAGTTTAAAAGAAATTATACAAATGTAATTATAAAAGTGGAATTTCTTTGTTCATAAGAAGAAGAAAAAGAGCATATGATGTTAAACGCACAAACTGCCGCCATCATCGAAATCACAATAACAGCGAAAAAACTCCCACAATTGTTGGCAGACGAGTTTATATACTTACATATATGGCTATACGTGTGTATGTATGTTTATCAAACTTTATACTTTATTATTATGCGCAGTCGCAGCCGCCGACGCATTGAGACGTCACTTCAACTGGTGTCACTCGCTTTGCCGGCGCTACCAGGCAGCCGAGAAATGCTGCGAAATGTAACTACACACATACATACATACGCATATACAAGAGTTTAACATTTTTGGAACGCTGATGCGCCGCTTGTGGAGTTAGACTTTGTGGTGCGCGTTATCTAATCGACAGGTTGCTTGCGTTTTTATTGTATTGTACATGTATTGTATATGTTTACAATAAATTGCATATGTGTGCGTGTATATATTTGTAAATATGTATTATTCATGCTTATGTTATGTAGGTGACACTATTATTTGCTCAGCTCAGCTGCTTGGCGACAATATGATCTGCCACTACTGCTTTATGTTTGTGTGTATGTTTGTAAATTTTTTCTATGCAAACAATAACTTGAATATAAATTAAGATATATTGATGACTTGCACATATGTTCCTTGGCACCCAAGAAAATTTGCTGGGAGGAAGTCCTTTTAGCACTTTTTTATACGCTACGAAAATGGGTAAAATCAAATAATAACCACGCCCACTCCCCATAAGACATTTATGTTGAAAACTACTAAAAATGCGCCATAAGCAATAAATTTCACAAACAAGATAGTAGGGGAGAGCTTTATAAGAGGAGGTGTAAAAATTAAAAAATGGGCGCTGCACCACTCACCTTTAGATGAACTCCCATGTCTCTGGAACTATCGAACTAATTTCAACCATATTTGATATGTGAGGTTACCCGCTATCACACACCGTGAAAATGTGCGAAATCGCACTACGATTATAAAACTATGCAGGTAAAAGCATGAACTATCCATCCTGCAAAAAAATGCCCCTAAAGCTAGGCTGCTAAGAGCAACAACTATCCATGCTGTCATTTGGATAGCAAATTTACTCCAACGCATCCTTAAAGAAAGTGAAAATATCACGTGAGGCTAAATAATAAGTATGCACATTAAAGCACATTAAATTAGTAAATATAGTATAAAAAAACTAAAAATTACGATTTTAAAGCAGTTCAAACTAAAAAGTGAAAAATAATTTCTTATATAAACTGACAGAAATATTGAACCAAAAAATACTTATATTATTGTGAGTAAAGTGTAATGTGCTCGATATATGAAAAATATGGCACAAATCATCCCATGATTTTCTCACAATAATACTAGTATTTTTTGTATTGTATAGTATTTGTAGTGCTTTAAAAGCGTGTTTTTAATTTTTTTTTTAACTATATTTATTTCAACTCTTTCTTCTATACCGCAGCACCTTGCGTGCATATGAATCTCGTTATATTTGATTTTTTGGGTAATTTTTTTTTAATTTTCAGAGATACAGTTTGAAATCAGTGTTGACTATACAAAAAAACGTTTTTTAATTGAATTTATAAAGGAATAAAAAAAATATAAATAAAAAGTAAAAAAAAGGAAATTAATAAAAATAATTACATTATTATTTTTCCCTTTACAAATACTTTATTCAAAGTGTTATATCTACTTGCAAGTCAGAAAACACGCGCTTTTCGTGTTTTTTTTTTTTTTTGGAAGGGCATCTTATTTAATAAGTAAACCAAAATAATGTGCATTTACAGAAATTAATGTCACTTAAACATCGGTGATTCATTTTTAAAAATTTTGGATTCCTTTGGTTCCGCAGCTGATCTCCAGGAGCACCTCGGGAAAAGGTGTTTGCCGGTGTGATAGATTTTTCTGTTTAAAATTATCTGAAATCCGAAACCGAAAAAAAAAACTATTTTTATAATAGATAATTACAGATAATGGGCGAAAGAATAGTCAAAATTTTGATTTTTGTTAAAATGACATCTTCTGAAAAAAATTGTTTACGTGAAAAATTTTTGACTTAAAAAACGAAATTATTATCAATTCTTTGAACGATAATATCTCCGAAACAAATTGGCGGATTAACTACAAATTTTCCGAAAATGTTTTCATGTATATATAATCGATATAAGTACAAAAACAAAAATTGGATTTTTTGAAATTCACTAGCCACCCCTAAATTAATTTGTTTATATACTAAAGGTTTAAATACTATTTTTTTTTTTTAACTTTTTATTTAAAATTTTATTTTTTTAATTTATTTTTTTTTTTATTTCAATTTCTTTTATTTTTGTATAATTAACATTTATCTCCACCTGTGTCTCTTCCATATTTCAAATGTATCCGCATGATTTAAAACTGATTTAACAATTAAGCGAATATATGGAAAAACACTTAAGTTTTAGCGCATATTTTACAGAGAATAAATGCAGATCTTATAAAACTATAACAAAAACACCCACACACACGTATATTTATGTATTATATATGCTCAATCTAAATAATAACAATACAAAATAGCTGAAATTTAAGCTAAACTTGAGCAGAAACAATCAAATGCTTCACAAATTGGCACGAAGCAATAAAAAAATAAAAAATGAAAGATAAAGCAAGCAAAAATGAACTAAAATACGAAAAAAAGATCGAATAAAGCAGAGCAAACACGGATTTGCGAGGTAAACAAACCAGAAGTTGGTTGAGCACAAAATATAAAAAAGTTATAAATGCGTTAAAAAATATATGGGATATAATTAAAAAAGAATACAAAAATTAACAAATTAAAAAAAAAATAACAAGCAATAAAAAAAAAATTAAAAGAAATAAATAAACTCTGTCTTTAATCTGCAGCAGGCCACTCAAGTAATATTGCATATATTTATGCATATCTATACACATGCATATATTTGTCGATGTATCCATATATATGGTATGAAAAATCAAAGCAAAAGCCGATGACGAAAATAAACCAGCTAATAGACAATATATTTGATAGCTAAGCGTTTAAGCAAAAATTCATTTAAATGCACCAAAAAATATATAAAATAAAAATTAACACATACATATTAATTTACAAACATATCTAGATGTATTTACATAAATACATTAAAATGTCAAACCTGCGCTCTTTGTACAGCAACTCGTTGCGACTTCTTGATATATCTACTTATATATACTTAAACATTTATGTGCATACGAGGGCAGATTGATAAATGTGTGCCCTGCAGTTATTAACTGCACAAGTGCATATGCAATTTTTCGGAATTTAACACCATTATGGTAAATAAAAACGTACCAGTTGTTAATTGTAATGAATTATTACTTTTCCCTAGAAGGAAAGTGTTCATTAATAATATTTTAGCAAAAATCTGATTAAAATAA